GTGCGTGCGCACCCTTGCTTTGCTCTTGCCCAGCAAGATCTGGTTCAAGGCTCATTTCCTAATTACAGTGCTGGCCAGAGGTAATTACAACCTAAGATTAAGAGCTGTTTCTCTTTTTTTTTTTTTTTATGGGACCATTGAAATGCAGCAATTTGTGGTGGCTTTCTGGGATGATCATCCTCCCTCTCATCCTCTCTCTCTCTCCCTCAATACTTCACTGCTGTTGGTTTAGGAGTTTGGGGGATTTTTCTGGGCTTTTTGCAGATTTTCCAACAAGAGTGAAATTGGTTTTAAAAAATAGCATTTAATGTAAAGTTTGAGCGAGTAGTTTCATCTGCTTTAGGAGATAGATCTGACGACAGTGATCGTGTGTGTGTGTGTGTGTGTGTGTGTATGTGTGTGTGTGTGTCTCTGGATCCGTGGACACGGAGGACAGCAGTTATTTGAGGTTTGCGCTCAAGATGGGGCAATCCAAAGCCCTCCGATCCCTTCGCATGTGTGTGTATATTTACGCAAGGTTTTAAAGTGGTTCTTCTGAATGCATCATTTGGCTGCATCGGCAAGCTCTTCTTCAATTTAGCTTGGCAGGCGCACAGGCTGGGGTTTGCCTCCGCATACCGCTGGGTCAGCATTGATGTGTGAGGCGGAGGCCATTTGAAGCCGGGGGTTTTATTTAAGACGCCTCTTTGAGAGAGCGGCTCTTGGTTGTCAACCAGGGAATGACACCCCCCCCCCCCCCAGCACCTGACGACGGGCACGCCGAAGCCTTTAATTCTGACGGAGGAACATCTAGAATTCTCTCTCTCTCTCTCCACATTCTCCTTGCTAATTGTGAGATGAGCCCTCACTGTTACATGGCCTTGAGAAAAACAAACACACACCCACATATTCCAACTTTCTGCTCTGTCGACTTCCCTCTCTCTGCCTGCTGTGTGAGTGGCCCACTCTGGTCCTCCTCTACCTCCACCTCCCCATATCCCTCCTCTCCTCCCTTCCCGAGGCCTCCTCGCCTCAGCACCTGACTTTTAACCCTCTAATCCCTCTGATGCAGAGGGTAAGATGCTTCAGGCACTGCCCCTAATTGGCGTAAAACGGAGCTCCGGCGATGTGAGGCACCATGTGAAAAGTCCTCTGCTCTCAGCCGGTTTGGAGATAAGACGACGAGTGGCAAAAAGATTTACAGGCGTCGCGGGCTCTCCTGTGAGATGTCTTGCAGATAGTCATGTCTCAACACAGCTAATGAAGAAAAACAACTGTCATTCATTGTCGGCGGAAGATTTAGACATCGGTGCTCTTTTCACCCGAGCTCTTTGGCACAGATAATGAAATGTCAGCTGTGATTTTGTAAAGAAAAAAAAAAGGAGAATAAATAACAGAAAGTACAGACTGACACAATGGTGGTAACCGGATCCCGGAGGACAAGTTTTTGTTTCGACATCACTGTCACAGCGGTGTGACAGCAGGCCTGTGCTTAATTGCTTAAATTGGGTTTTAGGACAGAGGGCTATACTTCGCCTTAGTCATGCTTCCTCTCCACAAACGGACATTTAAAGACATGAAAGGTCGGGATAATCCACCCAGTGTGCATATGTGTCTCTCTTAACGCTCACACCAGCACACACAGTTGCACACTTAATCGCCAAAGTGAAATATTGATGGCAAGCTGTGTCTTTAATTTTACATCACAGGTAAACTTTACCCCACCTCATTTATTCCTTCTCCCTGTGTCTCTCCTCATATAGCGACGTAATGTATCCCCTCAGTGTCACAGTGACAACAAGCGATCGTTCAAACACAACGGTCTGCAGTGACCTTCACACCAGTAAATAACAACCGCTGTAACTGTTACAATCTGTGCATCGTCGTGTAGCCGGAAAGTTCTCCACATTAGCGACGGATAATTGGCCTCCTGTGGCTGCTCTGCTGTGTCTGGTAGCCTAATATAAACCAATTACCACTGTTATATACTGTCAATGACACAGTAGCTTCTCCTATAGCATAATGACAGCCTGTGAGGAAACAAGCGGTACACCAGTGTAGGGGTTAATAGCGGGGGTTGTTGGAGTAGTTTGCCCCCAGGAAAGATTAGGCAATTTTCCATGCCTGTTTGTGGGGGGCTGTGTAAAAGATGGTAATCGGACTAAGAGCTGGAGGGATCGCGGTCAGAAGACTGCGCTTACATAAATTTAGCATCTCAGACAAAGGATGTGTGGATTACTGATTCCCAGTTTGGTTTTAGGGCTTCTGGTTGGTTCTGGCTTTTCATAAAATATAATAATATATTTTAAGAATCATTAAATTGTTATTTTATGCAGTGTTACAGTGAGATTACCTCTTTAAGGAGGACTGGTTTGATCACGTTTCTGTTGTTGTCGCCCAGGCCACAGAGTAAAAACACTTCCACGATTGTTGCTGAAAACTATGGGTCCCTCTCCGCTCTCAGAGAATCACAGAATACATTGGCATAACATTTGGAAAGATGAGATGGTATTTATCCGGAGAAAACAGATGCACTTGCGGTTCTTTGTTGCTCCAAATGTGTTGTGTCATGTCACTTCATTGGATGTTAGCTTATTTAGTGGAGTGGCGGGTCACTCTGAGATTTAATCTTTCAGGAATTTGACCTCATCCGCTCATTGCTCTGCTGCACACATGCTGAAGGAAAGTGATGTATCTCTAATTTCTAGTGTTTCATTCTGTCCACTGCTCCGCCTTCAGCTAAAAACCAAGTGGTGCATGTTTTATTTATTCTAATTAAATCATGGATCGGTCTAAATACCAGTAGCAGCTGTTTATATATCTCGTTTATATTGTAGGGTGGCACCAATTATGCATATGACTGACACTTGGCCACCACACACTTGCATTATCTGACCCGTGCGTATTGAAACCATTCCAACACTTGTGTCCTATTGAACTCTCTTGTTTTGGGACGGTCCCCAGTGTGGGTCCAAAAACAGCTTTTCCCCTGCGGTGAACGAGGCTCGGTGCGGTCTAGACGCTCGGCTCGGCCCCTGCATGCTGCACGGCGTCCTGCGGTCCCACACCAGCCCGCCTCGTTACCGCCCCGATTGCTCCTTTTGCTCCGCGCACACGCTCGCGTTCCCAAATACAGTTTTATTTTCACATTACCCACATCGCCAATAAAACCCTGTTACATTCAATAAGACACTGGAGCGGTCATGTTGATTTGTAACTCCTTACAACAAAGAACTATAGGTTGTTGTTTTCGTTTTTACAGGGATGCTATGTGTCTATTGAAGAGAAAAAACACTACGTTACAAGCATTTGTTATACTAGTATTACCTTACTGTTCAGCAGAACAGAAACACGGTGAGAGTCGGAATTAATTAAGACAGTTTCTGTAAAGGGAGTTGTCGCACGGGACACACAAACGCAACTTTAATGAACACCGATCAGCGGTGGCTTATATTTATGGGACATACACTTTGAGAAATAGTTTGGATTTTACACTGTTGGCGCAGTTAATCTATTAAGATTTTTTTTTTTTTTTAAGTTGATCATACACCGTATTGCATTCGTCAACGTAACCCTGTTAACGC